TTTATTTTATTTTTAAATATGCTGTCCTTCCTGCTGCTTTATAGTAAGCCTCTATGGTTACGCTTTTAATTTAATGTCTTCCTCAACCTGGATGGTATTTGAAAACAGAGAAGAAAAAAAAGACTTTTTAGAAGGTTCAGCACTTAGAAAAACTGTAAGAGTGGAGTCCTTAAATATGTTCAATTTTTTTTATCTTTCAGTCCCTACTTATGGGGATTTGTGGTGGTATGGTCACCCCTCTGCGGCAAATGAGTAACAAATGTGGTGTTTGTTCGCTGTTGTTTTATCAACCCTGTCACTAACTAGCTGATTAATCACCTCTGTTAGTTTTAAACAGAGAAGTTGGTGGGGTAGGGGGATTCGGCCACCACTGTAGAAAATAACTACATCCCTATGGCTTTAGGGATTTAATGTAAACCCAGGTTCAATTAGATTTGCTTTTGGACTGATCCTGGTTCTCGTGTTACTTTTTCACATCTCTATTCACTTTTCTTCAATCAACGCACACTCTCTATGTGTGTTATACTTACTTTGGGGTAGCTAAAAAGCCATGTGTGCTTGTGAGGCACAGAGACAGCTGGCAACAGTGTGTATCAACACCCTGTTAGACATGGCGAGCTCAAGACACTTCCAGTGTTTGTGTGTGGTTTTGCGTTAAAGCCAAATAGATGTGTTTAGAGCGACACACTGACACTTGATAGACAGATTTAGGTGTGGGAGGATTGTGTGTGTCTGCATGTATGTTCATCAGTGCTGAGCAAGAAATTTAATGCAAAAGTACTTTAAAGAGCATAGGCTGCAAATCCTAGCAAAAAAAAAAAAAAAAANAAATTTAATGCAAAAGTACTTTAAAGAGCATAGGCTGCAAATCCTAGAAAAAAAAAAAAAAAAAAATAAAAAATATATATATATGAAAAATAAAAATAAGTAAATAATAGTAAAAACTTTAAAGGAATACTTGAAATTAATAAATAAAAAAAATATATTCATCCATCCATCCATCCATCCATCCATCCATCCATCCATCCATCCATCCATCCATCCATCCATCCATCCATCCATCCATCCGTCCATCCATCCATCCGTCTGTCCATCCATCCATCCGTCCATCCATCCATCCATCCTTTCTTCCGCTTATCCGGGGTCGGGTCGCAGGGGTAGCAGCTTCAGTAGGGAGGCCCAGACGTCCCTCTCCCCAGCCACTTGGGCCAGCTCCTCTGGGGGAATCCCAAGGCGCTCCCAGGCCAGCCAAGAAACATAGTCCCTCCAACGTGTCCTGGGTCTCCCCCTGGGCCTCCTCCCGGTGGGATATGCCTGGAGCAAAAAAAAAAAATATATAGAAAATGTTAAAAAAAAGAAAGAAAGAAAATAAAAAGCATAGGGAATATACCATATCTACTTGCAGCCATGATGACATGCAGAGGTATAATCACGCCAGCCTTTTAAAGCTTCCTTTGACCTAATCTTTTAACACCTGACTAACTGACAGAAGCTAAATTTGAGGCTTCTTTACAAGTATATGCATCCACACTGAAGAGTGTCACTAGATCAGACTGGGTAGTAACCGGTCAGATCTGGCTTTAGTTACCAGATGAGATCTTGGTCTGTTCTTGGCAGGGTAAAGAAAGGTTAAGCAAAACAACATTTTGCGTCTCTAGGTAGACTTAGACATACTTTGTTATCATCTTGTATACACAAAGTGCATTCAAAACAAATTTTTAATGCATAGAGCTTTTAAAAGTGAACAGGGAAATGAACATTACCATTTATAAAGTGCAGCAGTGATCAGAATGTAAACAGTGTTGGAGAAAAGTAAAACCAGTTTGAAGTCATGGTGCAAAAGGCATTTATATGGAAAGGTTCAGTGCAGTGCAGAATAAATAAATATGGTGCAAAATCCAGTAGAACATTGAGTTGTGTTCTAATTAAAGGAATGGCAGCCAAGACATAAAATCTTTGTTACTCAACAGTACCTTTGTTCATGAAGCAAAAGGCCAGGATCGGTGTTAATCTTGTTGAGATTTCTAATAGTGAGCATACTGCTGTGATGCTAAGTAAGGTAGTAACATATCTGTAAATGTTGACTAATGAAAGACTAAGATGATTTTAGGGTTTTTAGAGGTGATCTATGTCAATAGAAATTAGTCTTTGTGGTGGAATGATTTGATAAAAGAGGGCCCAGTTTGGCCATTGTAAACGGTAGCTAGGCTTAGACAGGTGCTTGGTTTGGAACTGGAGCTTGTTTGGTGGAAGAACCAACTCATTGTAAGGGAAGTGCCAATTAAATTTTTATCAGTTGAGATAAGAAGACGTTGGATTTTTTTGTTGAGGGGGGTTTACAACCTTTTCCCACAAATGTTGCTGGATGGAATCTGTGTTCATAAGATAATGGCATTTTAAGGCGTACAGATCACTGTTTACCCTGGCAAATGTCCCTGCCACACCCTTTCCAGTGTCCAACCCATCCTCTCCATACGTGTGTGATTCCACACTAGCAGCTGGTGGGCTTCTATAAATAGTGTAGTTCAGAATAGTGTAGAAAGACAATATATTACCTCCTGAATATCTTCTTTATAGCACCTTCATCATGGATCTGCTATTCAGTGATGTTCCCACACTACTTTAGTGGCTTACCTTCTTCCAGGGCTATAATCATTGCGCCTCAATAATGCCGACTCCCCCCACACACACCCTTTGCATGGAAATTTGTACCATTGCTTAAAGGACACTGGTAGTCTGAGTGCTTCATTGCAGAGGAGTATAAATATAAATTAAAGAATAGGGGATTCCGGCACAGAGCTTTGTAGTTACATGCAGTTGGACCCACTTTTAAAACATTGTGCCAGATGGTATTTTGTTCTGCAGCACATGGCGATGCTGGTCTAATGTTTGACTTTGCACTTAGCAGGTAGGTGCCCCTATGTGTGTGGAACCTCAAGCCATCAAGGCGGACTGTTATTTCCTAAATCATGACTGTGTATACAGTCATTGTAATGGTCTCCACGCAGGATGTGTGTCTTAAAGAGAGCCAGGTGATGGATCTCTGGCGGCAAGTGGGATAACGTTGTGGTCCCAGGCGCTTTGGGTAGAGACAGGTGTGGAGGACTCTGTCTGTCAGCACTTTGTGTTGAATGAGCACCTAGATGCTACTACCTTACAACAGCAATCTGTTACAACCATTAGATAATTTTGTTGTGCTGTTGAGTGATTTCTTTCTTGCATACATGTTAGTAACTGGCTTTCCTTTTTTTTGCTGATGAGAGTTGTTTGTCTAAGATAAATTAGTTGATTTTTAGATGGACTAGCTGTGAGCTGATGCTGATTGAGTACCCTGTCCACACTCTGCCTTTACAGAATGCTTGTTTTGAGGAATGATCTGATTTGTAATAGTGACAGAGCACCTGTGGTTGAACATCAGCAATGACCCTTTAACCCTTAAAGCCGAACCACGACCACATGCACACATACACATATGTAAAGACTCACTCCTCTGCTCGTTTGGTGCTGCAATGTGACCCATCCGTCAGGGTAGCTTCAATAGTATTACCTTGCTTCCATGTGTTTCAACTGGCCTCACCACCTGTCCTAAGCCGTATTTCACCCAGACTGTATTCGCTCCAATGTAAAGCCCTCCTGCTCCTTCCATAGGCACCAGAGCTCTAAATTAGATTGTGATTGTAGTGTAAAGCAAAGTTTAAAAGCTGCAAAGAAAGTTCAAGTTTTTGATCTACAAATGTTTTATTTCTTCACATTTTTCTTTGCTCCTCTCTAGTGGTGGTAACTTATAGCTTAATTTTTTTTAGCAATTTCTTATATTTAACCACATATTTGAATTTAATGATAAAATTTTCCAAAACTTGTTTAAGTCTGTCTTTTAATATTGTTTGTTTCTAGGTTTTTATCCTTTTAAAACAGAATCGATGCATAAAATGAAAAAAAAAAAAGATGAAAAAAACAAAACAATAGTAATTTAAACTTTGTGTTTGATCTAAATCAGCCTAGTTAGTAGTTGATTTATTCTTTTTGGATAAGAGTATACTTTTAACTACCGGTAATTTCTGGTATAGTGCTTTTGCTGGCATACCGGATAATCTTTTTATCCTTGGAAAGGGCAAACAATAGAATAGCAGTATTAAAAAAAACCAACTAGAAATGAAAAAGAGGCGTATGTTTCAATTAATATGGATTTATCTAATGAAGAGCACCAGCATAACACTTAAAAATACCTTATTGATTTTTACTTTGTTTATCAATACAGTTTGTTTACAGGAAGTACACAGCAATAGGTAAGGGAAGGGCATTTGTGCTGTACAACAGGCCCCTTTCAGCCAAGGAAAAACCTTGACCTAAATATTTGGAAAATGTGAGCTTTTTTAAAAACCATGACTGTTTAGCTAAATACTGAACTATCATGGATAACTTGTATATTGGAGATTATGCTCTCTATTTGTGACTACAGTGGTCGTTAAAAAATAAATGCTTTCCCAAGACATATTATGAACAGTTGTCTATGAAAATAAATTTTCTAGATTTTGCAAACAGAAGATTTTTGCAATCCACAATATACTTCTTTCAGATGATACTTTGGTTTTCTTCTTATCCTCATGATTTAGCCATTGCTGGTCCCTCCCAGTGCATAAAAACAATGTGTTCACAAATAATACCATGTTAAAATATACAGCAGAAAAGCTCTGTGGTCAGGCAGACAGTAGAGTCAGGTCTGGACTGTGACTAGGATATATAGGGGCTGTAAATTCAGCTATACTGGTACCAGACACTAATGTTTAGTATTAGATCTAAATATCAATAATTAACTACCAATTAAAGGATGATTCAATATTTTAAGGGAGATATGCTTCTATATAAAACAATACCATTCCTTCCCCTTGTTATGTTGATTAACCCATGCCCTAGTATTGGAAAAACCCTGTATTATGACAAGCTTCATACTAAAGTCAAAGTTTTTCTTCTTCATCTAACCTGATGTCTCTTTCTTCCAGACGGCCTCCATCAAGTTGTTGCCATTTGCACGCTGCGCGTCATCATAATCACTGACGATATGCTCACCAACAGCATCACAGTGCGTCTGGAGAATATGTCGCAGGAGCGCTTTCTGTCTCCCCTCCTCAGCCGCTTCCTTGAAGGGGTGGCGGCAGTGCTGTCCACTAAACGGGAGGCCGTGTTTGTCTTCAACATCCAAAATGACACCGATGTGCAGGGCTCCATCCTAAACGTTACCTTTTCAGCACTGCAACCAGGAAGCGCCTCGGGTAGAGGAACATTCTTCCCCTCTGAGGAGCTCCAAGAGCAGATCTACCTGAACAGAACGCTGCTGAGACTCATATCCTCTCAGGAGGTAGCCTACAAATGAAAGCTAGATGTGAAATAAAGAGGTGTGTTATGTTGGTCTAACTCAAATGGCAACTGTCTCTCCAGGTGTTGCCATTTGATGATAACATCTGCCTCCGGGAGCCCTGTGAGAACTACATGAAGTGTGTCTCGGTGCTAAAATTCGACAGCTCGCCGCCATTTATCGCCTCCAACACGGTTCTTTTTCGACCCATCCACCCCATCAATGGGCTCCGGTGCCGCTGTCCTGTTGGTTTCACCGGGGACTACTGCGAGACTGAGATCGACCTTTGCTACTCTGGGCCATGCAAGAACAACGGAACGTGCCGCAGTCGTGAAGGGGGGTACACCTGCGAGTGCCTGGAAGACTTCACAGGTAGGCCAAGTTTCAAATTTAATAACTTTTTCTTTTCTTTTTTTCCCTTCTCAAAGTATTTCTCTTCTGTCTACGGAAAAGCTGCCAAACTGCTTTGTCTACTTCATGGGGCTAATGTTGAAAGGTGTTTGACCTCTAAACAAGTTTTTTTAAACTTGCACAGACAGTAGAGGAACTCACATCTAGTGTTAAATAGCAGTTACTTATGTCATTTTTATGTTTTTTACTATGGGATCTATGTTTGATAGAATTTTACGAATTTTAAAATCAAGCCTTTTCTTTTCTTTCAAAAGTAAAAGCATCAACATTTTAACATGCTTGTCAAACTAATCAATATGTCAACATTTCACAGAATGTTTAAACAAAATTTCTAAAGCCTTAAAAATATTTGCATTGTACAATGTGTTTTCACAAATGAAGTTTTAAAACACAACACAGACTCTTAGTTTAACTCAATTTTAATCACAATATATCTGCTGATATAATGACAGCTTTTAATTTGAAAAGCATAACTTGTTAGCATGTTAGTTCATTCCAGTTCTCTATAGCTTATAGATTAGTAGTTTTCCTGCTTTGAACACCATTGTTTTTAGATGTGTAAAACAGAAATGCAGTGTTTGCAAAGATATATATTTTTTATTGGCATTTTGTCACACCATCTCCATGGGGAAGTTGTCATGTCATGATGTTGCCAGCATCATGTGGTGGGAAGCTGAATAAATCCTCTATGAGAACCTGTCGAAGGGCAATACATCCCAAAGTAAGAGTACAAATCTTTGGCATGACAACAGCCAGTTACACAGATCATAGCATATTCTTGAATCAGAGTGGTCCAACCAATTCCTATCTGAATTCAAATTGAGAGTCTGTGGTTATACTTTAAAGCAGATGTACCCAGATGCTCTCCCACCAATATGACTGGGCTGGAGCTTTTATTCATAGTAAGACCAGGAAAACAATTTTGCCTCTACATGTGCAATAGCTTTGATTCAATGAAGTCTTAAAAGTGGGCATGCATTATTCAGACAGGTGCAATTATCTAATAAAGTCCACTTGTGCCCTAACTTTATCTTACATAAAGCATAGAAACACTTATTTTGAAAAACAGTCCAAAAGAATGAATTGAATTTAGGCTTAATTAGTAGTAGTTTAGTGTTTCTAAAAACGTTTGTAATGTTCAAGTGTAAAGAAATGGAGCAAAAAATTAAATCCTCTTACCTTTACAAATGTGGCCTGCTACTAATGAATACTTGTATTGTGTCAGGCTTTTGCATTAGGAAGAAGGGAATAAGATTTAGGCACATTTCTTTTTATGTCTAATGGTTGCCTGATCATTCAGAGATGGCAGTTAAATTATCTTTACAGACTCTATGAAGGCATCCCAAGTGATCAAATTATTTCAAATTCAGGTAATCAGAAAGTTGGTCAGGGAGTCAATGGTGGACTCACTCCAAACATTTGGCACAATGAAAATTGTAAATCTTTATGGACAAAGATAGAGTGTCTGGAAAACTTAGCATAAGATTATTAGAGTGTTAGAAATATCATTGCTTGGGCGTTTCCTTTGCACTTTTGTCATTTTCATGCCATGTAATTTCTCAACATAGATAAAAAAATGTTTATTAATTGCTTTGTTGGCCTTAATAATTCCCTACATAGGCTTTAAAAAAGACAAAATAAAATTGTATCTGTTAAACATTCGTTTGCTAGTGTATTATTAAAAAAAAACTTTAGTATAGGTTGTGTTTAAGTTTCAGCTTCCTGACCATTCTTGATTTGGTTGCTTGGACTTCTGCTAACCCGGCTTCATGTGGCAGGAGTTGTGGGAAGACTTGGAAAAGTTCATTGTTCCTTTTGAAACTCTTTGCCAAATACTTCCTGATGTCAGTGATCTTCCTCCCATACTTCCCTCTTGTACATTCGATACCTGATTTTCTCTGCTCCACTGTCGCTCTCTAATAGAGCACTGGGGCCCTCTCATAGTACCCATGCCTCATCTTCTTCCTTTGCCCCCTTTCTTGTCCTCATATCTGATATAATTACCTGATTATACCTACCTTTGTCACTCCCAGGACTTTTGGCTTCCTTCTCCTATGTCATCTTGTCCACTCATCCACCATATTTCCTTTTCCTACATCTCAGGGTCCCTTCTTTGAAGGTCACAGTTAAACTCTGGGTAGTCCGGGCCATCAGGGACCATTATGGGCCTGATGACAGCAGGGGTGGGAGTTGATCTGTTCTCCTTGGGTTTCCTACATTACAGGGAAATAGATCCTTATAATTCCACCCTAGGAAAAACGGATTATGTTGAGGAGAGAAGGGCCATTAGCTGGTTCCAAGCTGTAATGTTGGAGGGGTCTGTATGCGCATTGGATGGCGAGATCATGTCTGGATGGCAGGTGGACACACCACATAGGAGACAGGAGCATCTGAAGCAGAGAGGATTTTCTGTCAAGAATTTAAATTATCAGAGCCAGGAAGCTAGGCTCACTTAGCCGATCTTGAGCTAAGCTACATTGGTACGGCCATTAACAGAGGAATTTCACAGAATTAAATCATGTCATAAAATATGTTAATTTTCATACTTTTATCTGCATCGATAACATCAAGTAATTGATCTGGAAAGTAAAGCTGGAGAGGTGAATACAAAATTTTTAGATGAGAAAAAGAAACTTCTTCATGTTGCTTCTTAGGTTGTTTAGAGTGATTTCCTTTACTATATTCACTTTTGAAATTATGTTTTTTTTTTGTCTCAATGTGAACAGGCCCCTAGAGATGCCAATTCTCCATTACGAAACAGTTTAAAATCAAGCAAATTTGACAGATCTGCTTAAGTGTTGTAGGCATATCTTTAAATATACCTCTTAGTTGATGAAGCTGTGCTTGAGACTTTGCTATCTCCAGATATGTGGATGGCAATCTCTTTGTTGGTTTGTTGTTGTACTATGCTCTTGATTTTCAGATGGTGGATTAAACAGTGCAGCAGTGTAGCCTATTCCTTTGTAAGGTGCCACAGCAGGCAATAAATCAAATGCTTTTTTTTAAGTTAAAGTCAAAACTAATTACATTAAGTCTGGATTTTAGTTAAGGGTTCACAGCATGCTTTCAGAAAGGACAAAGTAAGGATGAGTCAATGAGACATCATGGTCATCAATCATCCCCATTGTGTTGCTTAGATGAGCTCACACAAGCGATATATCAGTAGTAATTAATTGGACTCTTTCTGCTTCTCCTTTTAGGCGAGCATTGTGAGTTGAATGCCTCTTCAGACCGCTGTGTTCCCGGTGTTTGCAAGAATGGTGGGAAATGCATCAACCGACTCGCTGGAGGGTTTATGTGCGAGTGTCCTCCAGGAGAGTTTGAGAAGCCTTACTGTGAAATGACCACCCGCAGCTTCCCCGGGCAGTCGTTCGTAACATTCAGGGGTCTCCGGCAAAGGTTCCACTTCACCGTGTCCTTCATGTATGTACTTTTTGCCTTTCTTTCTCTTTTTATGCTATTTTGTTGAGAGTTAATGAATATTTTCTTCCAGGAGCTGCTTTTTATTGTTTTATTGTTTGCAGCTTAAGAAGAAAGTATATACGTAAGGCCGTTGGATGACACAACATATGAATCTACAGTATTACAAACAATAAGTCATCTAAAAGACAACAAACAAAGGCAGCCAAGAAAGATGCACAAAAAGAATTGAAGCCTATTTGTCATTTTCAAACCCTACTCTGTTCAAATGGATAAAAACGGACCTTGCTTGTTCCGTAACTAGTTATGTCTTAGCACACTTATTCCTGTTAAGCCCAGCGTACACTGTGCGATTTTCGAGGCGATTTTCCTGTCGTGTGACAATCTTTCGATTGGGCCGACTTTCAGCCTGATCGTGAGTCGTGTAGTGTACAGGGGGTTACAAGGGGCGATCAGCCTCTCACGACCACCTCCTGATCAGGAATCAAGACCGTCGTGGGCAAATCGCTCAGTGCGCATGCGCAAACAAGGATTCTTCTGTAAACACAGCAGCGTGGCAGGGATGCAATGAGTGAAATGCAGTTCTGGTAAAATTGACCAACCGTGGTAGCCACGTTTGCTCATCCATGTCTTTTTTTTAAATACGTCATCACCTTTTCTTTTTAGAGCTTTCAGCACAAAATTGCACAAATTTTTTTTATTTTTATTTATTTTTTTTTTATTTATCCATATTTTTATCCTAAGTGTATATATTAGTATATTTTTTTGCATGCCTTATACCCCAGTGTTTTTAGAGATTTTTATAATTTTATTTACTATTTCATATATGTTTCATGTTGCACGATTGTACCATGAAAAAATTCCTAGTTGTGAACTCCTTCACTAACAATGGCAATAAACCCGATTCTGATTCTGATTCTGATTCTGATTCTGAAATTGCCAACAACAGCGCGTTTTACTCTAGTGAGCTTAGTATTCCCCTTCTATTTATTTGGCTTCCGGATAGACGAGTCAGAGTAGTGCCATTTCACTGCGGAGCCAAATCCAACGTGGTTTTTAGTTTCACAGTGTGAGCAGGTAGATAGCATGAGAGAGTCGGGCCGAGCATTAATCGTAAGCTGTGAACTCACACTGTACGACTAACCGCAGGGTTTAGTCGTACAGTGTGAGCAGCAGCTGCGTGCAACGACTGAAAAAAATCGCACAGTGTACGCCCGGCTTTAAAGTTGCTGGCATCTCTGGTGTGTATTATTGTTCCTACCGAAAGCCAGACATATAAAAAAGGCAAATTAAGTCTATTACTAAATCTCCATTGAAATATTATGCAAACTAATAGATTTTGCCAAAGGGGACCTGTTGTAAAATGGAAAGCAGGCTACTTCTTAATTCTGGAATTACACTCCAAGAACAAAAATGGCCCCTGGACCAGAACATTTTTATCTTGTCTAAATACCTTAATGAAAGTAATAAAATATATTATTTCTGGATTGGTTTCACAGGGAAGGGAATTAGTTCTCTAACGGGTGTAGCTTAATAACTGTTGTTGAATTAGATAACCAAGTGTTTATAACCTAACACTAGGAGTCATTTTTGTTGTTTGGAATTTATTACAACAATAACACCTATAGCTTAATATAAAGAAGATAACTTAATGCTAGATTTAACAGTATTTAGCTAGAAATACAGGTTGCTTAACATATGTTGTTTGCTAGTTAACTTCATATGCTTTTTAGCCCCTCTATGTGCTATTAAAAAGGATATAATGTACATTTTTTGGTGTTTTTACAATTGAAATTTCCTTTATATCCATTAAAAAGGGCCGTCTGTTCTAAATGGTGATATAAAGGAAACTGAGTTCTAAAATATAGCTCGGGCAGGTCTAGACCTGCACACTCACCCATTGTGTTAGAACAAACCGTATCTGAATTTAATGAGGTTTGTTTCTCACACTCTCTTTAAACCTGAAATTGCTGGAGGAAAAACAACCCCGGTTGGACGAGTTCCTTTATTCTCTCACAGTAAAAGTACATTTGCAAGAGGTGAACCAAAACTTTGAGTTTTATTGGCCCTGATAATAAAGGTGAGACTAATATTTTTGAATTCATCGACAGCATGAGGGCGAGGGAAAATGTACAGCGCGGTGAAAACAGGAAAGACTGTGTGATGTCTTCCTTATCAGTGTTTGACTGCAGCCATCCTGACTTCCTGCCCTCCTGGCCTCACTGGCATCTGTTGTCTGACTTTGCTGCCCTCACCTTCCACTCCTAATATGCATCAACGCATCTAAATTCTCTACCCACCCAAAACACACAAGTGCCCAAGAGGGGAGAGCTGGTGAAACTTTTAAGGCGAGGAAATTATTTCATCAAGAGTTGCACATCCTTTACATATTTCACTTGGCAAGAGCGACTTTTCTCAGGAGCTACTTGCTCTTTTTAAAAAAAAAACAGAAATCAACATCCTCAGCATTTCAACCCTGTTCTGTTTGACTTGGAAAGAGATTTTAGATAATAACTCAGGAAACTTAAGCTGGAGATCATAAGATCTTATCTTATAAGTAAAGCAGCTGAAATCCTCAAAGATCAAAGATCCAGAGGTGGATCGTCCCATTTACTCAATTACAATAACTTTTTGACAAAAGTTAGATTGCACCATAGGTTTTTAGGTTTACTTGATTAATATATTTAATCAACTAAAACTGAAAAGCACTTTTATTAACATCACTGAATAATGAACAAGCTTGTTTAAAAAAAAAAAAAGTGCTCCACAAAAAAGACACATACTTAATATTTACTTAAGCTTAAAGAATCTACCATGACATTTAGAGATTGATTTACGATACAGTAAGGAGTAAATAGTGTCAATGGGGGAATTGGGTTTATACCTTTTATGTTATAAAGAAAATTAACTTGGAAAAGTATTATTTTCTGCCTGCAATAGTTTTTTTGTTAATTACCTTACTTGTTTGTTTGAAATATTTTATTATACTCTTTAAAATACCAGAATTTAGACATAACATAACATTTTATATATAAGCTGTAATGATCAGTCACTTAGAAGTTGAGTAGATTTTTCACCAAATACCTTTTTACTCTCACTTGAGTTAAAATATAATAAAGTTGTGCTACTTTTCCTTGTGTACATTCTTTCATCAGCCATAGGAAGAGATATGAATCAATTCTCTTGATTTTGCATAAACCTCTCTGCACCCTCTGTACTTTGTAGAGCTACTGAGGCCTTGGACAGAGGATTTCTACAACATTGGGTCAAAGTTTTTATAGTATTATTGCATGAATACACTTGAGATATTAGCTTGTGTCCCGCAAGTAACACATGTAGGTCTATTTATGAGTCAGCAAAATGTTATGTTTATATTATTATTATATCTAAGATAGGATCAAGTTTGGATCATTTCCAATTGTTGCATTTCCAAAATAGAAAGATCCTAAATGCTTATTGGAAAGGTTATACCCTCCAGCTAGAAAGATGCATTTTACTAATTAAAAGCACCTAAAAATGTTGGAGTTGACATTTTAACCGGTTCTTAGAACCCTATATTTGTAATTAGTTTATCTAGCCTTTTGGAATTACTGTCAGAAGCAGCCTAAAGGTGTTTATTCTCTAAGTCTAAGATACTCTAACTTTTGATTTCCAAAAGCTTGTCAACATTTTAAAAGCCGTTTTCCATTACATCAAATAAGCTCCTAAGGAGCATTATTTTGGGCATGTCCCAATTTAATAAGACGTTCTGATTAAAGGTATAAGCGGATGGCACATTTTAGACAAAACTGCAAAAGTACACAAGGAAAAAGAGGCCAAATATCTGAAAATTTTGCCTCATAAAGTTGTGCCCCTTCCAACATCTAACACATCTCACAAAGGCTAGAGTTTGCAATTGACTGGTCAAGTTAATGTCGCCTGATTATGGTCAGGGATATATCCTTGATGCATCGTTGCAAATTCTAAATCAAATTTTTTGCAGTCAAACATCTATAATTCCTCTTCCTGCAGGTTTGCTACCAGAGAAAGAAATGCTCTGCTCCTCTACAATGGCAGGTTCAACGAGAAACACGACTTTATCGCCCTGGAGATCATTAAGGAACAGATTCAGCTTACCTTTTCCGGAGGTTAGGTTTTTTTTATTATGTATCTTTCTGACTGTTTATGTGTTTTTTCTGCCACATTAATTCATCCATGAATGCTGATAATCTAAAGGGACTCTCATAAATAAATGTTCACATTGTGTGGTTTATTTTAACTTAACGTGTGTAGTTTAGAGCGAGAAGAAGAGAAGCTAAGCTCTCATTGAAATGCAGTCAGACATACGCCCAGAGTCATTGTTAATGTCGGTAACTGTTGACTAGCAGATCAAACACACGTTCTTTGTACTGGCAACTGTTGTTTTCACATTCGAGCTGCTTTCCCATGGCACCGTGGAGGGAGGCATCCACTCTAATATGATTATGTTGGGTTGAAGCCGGTTTGGGAGACGAGCCAAGTGCTTGTGCGCTACCTCAGAACCATAAAAATACTTAAATTCTTGGAGCATAAATTATCAAATGCAGAACTCAAAAATCACATAGATCTATATAAAAACAGGTTATAGATTTGTGTAAAACAGATCACACCATTTACCTTCAGGCGAGGGGTCTGCAACCTTTATGAGCCAAAGAGTCATTTTAATCTGTTAAATAAAAAATCATTTAGAGCCACAAATACTACATGGTTTTTTAAATAAAACACAACTTTTTTTTTCTTAATGAATATCTGTAATAGAAAATCTGTTGCAATTTAGACAACAAATAGTTTATTTGCATTTTTAGTTTTTATAATAAGCATAAAACACAAAAGGCTTCCTCAGTCAGACCGTGCATCTTGCATTCAGGCTCTTTGGCATCAGAGGGTTGCTTGAGAGAAGAGCCACCAGAAACATCAGGCCACTGAAAGAGCCTCAAGGTGGCTGTTGATCAAGACGGGAGACGCATGGAGTAGTGCGCTTCTTGAACACAAACTGGGGCCGGATTAACCCCAGTTGGGCCGCCCAGACGAGGGTGTCTGAAGATCAAAGACCTGAAACACCCTATGACCCTGGGTCCTTCACTGATGATGTGTTCAAGCTGCACCGGCTAGGTGCTCCAAAATGTAATCTACAAAAATTTCATAACGAGGAAGCATTGATTTAATTTTTTTTCCTGTAGGATATTATTCTATGTAAAAAATAAACACAATTTTAAAGCTGATGGCAAGAAATATAGAACTAAAATCATATTCCTGATTCTTTAATGTCTTTCTGTAATGAATAATATATTCAAATGTTCTTTAAAAATGTAAAGCTTGTAAACATTGTATTTGTTAAACCCTTTACATTCAAAACCACTAGTTTGTTCTTTATCATTTTTAGTCCCTATTAAAGAGTCTCTGTAGAGCCAGTTGCGGCAGGTTGCAGACCCCTGCTTTAGACTTACAAACACATGCAGATATGCAGCTAGAGGTAATTTCCTTTGATATTTGCTCATTTCTAGAAGCATTGATTCTTGTGCAGAAGTTGCTCCTGCCCTTAGCAAACAAACTTTAAACCCTCGCTGAACCTTATTCTTTCCTGCTTTGCTTGATCTATGAGGTGTCAGAAGTGAGATATGCTTACTGGTTTTATTTAACATTGTTTTGATGCATTTCTCATCCAGGTGAGACTATAACCACAGTGACCACCTACGTCCCTGGAGGAGTTAGTGACGGCCAATGGCACTCGGTCCAGCTCCATTACTACAACAAGGTAAAGAATGTTATCAGCTTCTCCTCTTTCCTCCTCTTTCTCTTTGAGTTTGAAGGAGCTGATTAAGAGTTCCTTTGAAGCACTTAAATCAACAAGATGGGTTATAACCGCAACATACCACCTAAGTATCTTTAAGTTAAAAGGCTGTAAATCGATGAATACAGAAGAAATAGGGTTAGATCTGGCAGGGTCCATGCTGTAAATTAGCAAGTGTGGGAGTGGAAAGAGTGGAAAGTTGTTCTCTTTGAAGCTACCAAAGAAGATGACCTTGACTGTGGAGACTGGGGAGATAATCGTAATGGTGTAGTTTAGTTTTTTTTTTTTTTTTTGACATCTCATGCTGTGGATGTCAGAGCAGGAGGCCAGACGCCCTCAGCTTCAAAGGTCAAACATTCACTAATTGCTTCAGTTAAGGACTGCTTGTCTTCCAGTGGATGGTTATCACACAGGTAATCACAGGATATCTCAGTAGGTTCATTCACAGGGTAAGTTTTAAGACGTTTCCCACGATGGTTTTCTTGCTTTTTGATCAGAAAATAGGCTGCGATCATTCTGTAAGCTGGCTCGTATGTCCTTTAGTATTATGTGATTCAAGTTTAAATGGTGTTCATTTACAGCAAACTTCCACAACCCAAAGGCTTTGTTCTTCTGTCATTAAACCACCCTGGAAATAAGATGAGTGTTTTCCTTTTAGGGATGAACAAAGTATTGTTTATCCCACTAACACAGATTTTTTTATTCACAAATGCATTTTAAATGCATTAACTCCAACTCATGTAGCTATAAATAGATGGATTAGATGTTTCACAGTTCAAACATCTTGAACTTTTTTTAGATTTTGTTCAGACTGAAACGAACAGCAAAAAGAAGCCTTGTGTCTTTTTGTAGGAACTTTTTTCAACATCCTCTAACATTTATTTCATAAATGCAATTTACCACCATTGTTCTTATTTCTTCTCAGGAGGACCTGAAAACAGGAAAATCTGAAAAGTGTAATAAAAATTTAAACCACTCCCATAATTTTGGAATGGCTCCAATAAGAGCTGCATCATTATCTGCTTGTTTTTGCTCTATGCTTTGACTAGGCCGTTTTAAAACCAGAATGTGCTTTGGTCTAAACCATTTCATTGCTGTATGGTTTATTTATTCTTTTAAGGTGCTCTTAATTTCCTGTGTGTAATCCAATAAATTTGGTCAGGAGGTTTGAAAAGGAAAGGATGGAAACGATAATATATTTAAAAAAAACGTCTAATTGGTCAGTTTGCAGCTTCTAGATATTTTAGCAGTTAATGCTACAATCATACAGCCATGGATAAAAGGATTAAACCACTCTTGTTTTCTTCATTTTGTTGTTTTTAAAGCTATATTAAATAGGTAATAAGAAAAACAAAAAACAGTACATGACTGTGTTAATTAAGTATCGGAACAATCTAGATATTGGACAGAAACCGTGCATGATATCTACATAAGAGGTGGAACCATTCAGCAAAAAACTTCTGCACTGCAAAAATAATCTAGAAATAAGTAAAGCATTTCTTAAATTAAGTGTATTTATCCTTAATTTGAGTAGATAAATAAGATGATTTTTCTAATGGAGTCAGTATTTTTCTCTTAAAATAAGATATTAGATAATATTCACTTGAAATTAAACAATTTCAACAATTCAATGCAATTGTTTTTATTTTATTTTAAATGCAAGTTGTCTTGTTCCATTAGCAAAGTGTCTCACTTACTTCCTCAATTCAAGAAAAAAAATGCGCTTATTTTAATAAACAGTGACTTATTTAGATTTCTATTTTTTGCAGAGTGCGGAATTGATTTTCTTTCAATGCCATAAACAAATGCATCCTATTGTTCAAATTTATAAAACATATTTTTATATATTTGTTTTTTTATATTTGTTGTCATTGGTTAAAATGTGTAAAATGCAGTGCAGTAAAGCACTGCATATGTATGCCTGCCTTTCTAGCATATTAGGAAACCTCCATACATCATTGTATTTTAGTGAATCCTTTGCTTTGCAACGTATTAAAGGGAGTAAAACTATTACATTTCACAGGTTGTTCACCTCTTTTCTGTTGTCCGTTCCATACTATGTTGTCCTGACAGAGAAGAATTGATTTAAGTTGATAAATTGGGTTGCTGTATGTTAGAATGTTAGCTGCAGGGTCACATCTGTATCTATTGTTCGAGGTCAGTTGTCTTCCTCCTGAGCTTCTGCAGAGTGTAAAGATGCCAGAGAGCAGGCAGGGTCAGTTGCCTAAACTTGTGCTGCTGCAAACCTTCAGACTCCTGCAGAGATGGTTTGCAGGATACAGTCTGTTGGCTCTGAAATCTTTTGTTTTGTTTGTCTATTGTGGTGTTGAGAGTTTGAACCATGTTGCCGTTGGAAACGAGAGATTGATTGCTCAATCCTGTTCTGTTCAGTTTGCTTTTTTTATTTATTGAGCCTCCACTGATCCTACTGGCTTTCTTTTTGCCACCCAAACATGCAGTCACAAGAAATGCACACACTAAAGCACACGTATTACACTGAGATTGTGAGAGTGTCCGGGTGTTATGTGCAGGTGAAGCAGTGGGTGGGTGTGTTTCACCAGTAGCAAACCTTAATATGGACCAGTGATTTGTAGACCTGGTGCCAAATTCCGTTAAACCAGCCCAAGGCCCATAGAGGTCAGATTTTCTTTGTCAGCTGAATGATCAGAAGACAGAATTGAGTCATGTAATATAATCCAGTTGCTTGGGGTGGATTAGTGAAAATGTATCTGACAGAAAGCAGAAATGGTTCTCACAATAGATTAGGCGTGTTGACATGTGATTGTTGGACATGAATGAATTTCATGTTTCTTACTCAGTCATATAGATATTTCTCTGAAGGTGGCATTGCTTACATAGCCCAGAGTGACAAAACTGAAGATCAGAGCTCTGTCCTGCAGTTATGATGTCATCCTGCTTCACACAGACTTCTTATAGTGTCTGTATTCTAGAGTTTATTGTTGCAAAATCTGTTGCAGCCGAGGTTTATGTTTATGGGTTTGATGCATTTTATGCACTAATTTCGTTTGCTTGACATTATAAATGGCTAAAAGTTGTATGTATGACAGCACATGGTTAAATGCATCATTAAAAAGTCTTAAAATATGTTGCCATTAATCGTTGTTGTAAAACAGACAGAACAGACTTGAACAAACCATTTAAATCCTCAGCAACTTCACCTCAGGTTGAAAAGTGTGTGGCGTAAAAATCCAGACAGTGTCTTTGTTTTAATATTAGAGGCACAGCACAATAGAAAAGGGAAAGAGTGATACATTCTTGCCATTCCCTAAAGAAGCATCTCAAGGATAGTTGAGTGTGTCAGTAAAGCAAATCTAAACAGGAAACCCAAACACAGATATAGACGAGCCGTGGGTTTTTCCTTTAAGCCGCAGGAGGTTTAGTCTTTGGTTTAAAAGTGCTCACCACAGGAAATGACGTTTCTTAAAGCAGGAAATGATGTAACTCAGCAGAAGTAACTGGTAGTCAGATGTGTCATAAATGTGTGTTTCATGTCCACCTTGTTTGGAAGGTAAAACAAAGCTTATTCAGTTGGTTAGAGGCTTTGTTTAAGGCTGTGCAGGAAGAATAGCCCAGATGTCATCAAAAGGAGTCAGGTTAGATAAACATTAAAGGTATTGTGGAGGATTTTCACAAGTTTTTTTAAAAGACCCGCCCTCTCCACTTAAAAAAAAAAAAAATGCACATGGGCAATCCTGTACCTGCTCCCAAGAGGGAGCGCCTATTAGACCTGTGCAAGAGCATGCACAAGCCCATTTCTCCTCGTGCACGCTCTGTTTAAAAGTTGCTGTTCTCATATCTCATACAAGCCCACTGTGTCCGAACGTCCTCCTCTAAATCCCTTAATCACTATATAGAGCAGGGACTATATAGTGGACTTTATAGCAAACTCAGTTAACTGTAGGTTTGGACAGAAGGTGAGCTTCAATTACTGTCTGAAACTGTCGCTCACCACAGATATATACCTGAAAGTGCGCATGCACAGAAAAAAAAAGCTAAATGGGACGAACACGTAGGACGGCCTTATGTAAACATATCACCAGAATGATTGACAATTAGGAGGACCACTTATTTAAATGATCCACCCGGAAATAAAAGATTGTCCTCTATACCTTTAAGCTATGAAGAATATTTGGAAGAATCAACATAACAGCAATGTACGTATCTTAATGCATGGTGATGGCTGCATCATGCTTTGGCAAATGTGGGATCATTATGGTGTGTTTTGATAGTAAAAAAGTTGCATCCTATAGAGGAATTACAAATCCAAATCCTTGATCTCAAAGAGCTTTGAAACAAATAAGCTGTATTTTCACGTAAGGCTGCAGGATGTAAGTGATACCTCATTATATGATTACTGTCAACTGACAGCCATCTCTCCGCAGCATGGGAACTCATTATTTAGTTGAGTTCATGTTTCACTTTTCCCCTGGCAAAATATAACTGGCAACATTTTTTTGTTGTTGTTTTTTTGTTTTGTTTTTTGTTTTCTTTACAGACAAATTTTCTCCTGGCGTTACGTGAAGTGAACCCGTCAGAGAAAAAATGTTTTGTTATTGCTGTTGTTTTTGATTGACAAAGCATCAGTGGGAAAGCTAAAAAAAAAACAAAAAACTGTCGCTACACCATCATTTCTAAATGCCTTGAAGGAAAAAAAATATTTTTTAGCAAATGAATGTACTTTTTGTGCATCTTATGTTCAAAACTCTGGAGGTGATTACATTTTAAGGTCTTTTAACTGCAAATTAAAAGCAAAATGAACTCATTTTCAGCTAATTACTAGTGTTGAATAACAGCTTGCTGTGATCTTATCGGATCCTTTAATCATTATTTATATGTTTTTATCTTTGAACATATTTAAAAACATATAAAAACCCCAATAATATATTACAATTTGTATTACTCTGCATTTTCTAAACGACTCATTGGAGGTGCGTGCTACATGTCTGCAGCTGATTTAGTTTGTTTTTTTCAGGATAGACTTTTTTTATTATCCTTATTATTAATATTATTTCACACTAGACTCATTGCCAGTGATATTTCCAGCCAAGGCGTGTAGACGGCATTCCTAGACAGGTTGAGTTGGCTCTTATCACCGATTTCTGCTCCTGCATGTCTTCTGTCTCTCACTTTCTCTCCAGAGTGCTGTTTACATGACACGAGTTTCATCATCAGGACGCATGTGTAAATTGTTTTTCAGTGTAGTGCGATGCCCTGCTTTTACATACCAGACATACTGCTCCTTTGGACGCTGTAACTGAAACCCACTCTGCTGTTTCAAACATCTTTCGCTGAAGCCCAGATGCTGCCATTAAATCAGACACATTTGATCTAAATGATGAGACTCTAATTCCAGCAGTTTGGAAAATAAACTTTTTCTGTTTTGTTGCTGTATCAGAGTTTATTGGGCTTTTAGAACAAGTTGGAACTAATTCGTACATACATTTATAGTGTTGTGATGTTGAATAAGCACTACTGTAACTAAATCCTAGGTTTCCTAGTTTCATGATACTGAAAAAAAGATAATAAATAACATATCAATGTCACTGTACATTTTCTAGAATTAGATCCTGAAAGTCCAAGTGAGATAAAACACGGTCATCTGACAGGAGGTTCCTCACAAACAGTTCAAAAAAATCCAAAATGGCTACCCCTGCATAAACTGCGGTAGCTGCAGAAAGAAAGAAAAAAAGCTGCTTATTTGCATTTATTGCTGTTGTTGGTCATAAACTCACAAACTGTTCTAATAATAGTTACAATCCTGTAGTATAAATTATAGCCTAATATAAATCACATGAGTAAACATGGTGTTTTGGTGTTTGAATATATATATAAGTACAAGAAAACAATGTTATTAGTAGTGTTGCCATCTTCCATAAATAAAAATTAGGGAACCCCTCAGCCCAAGTCCCCTTCTTAGTGTCCTGCTTTATTTTATGCTTCTGTTTTTTGCAAAGGGTTGATCAAGAAAGCTACTTATCCAAATAAAGCTTAAAAACCTTAATTAGCAATACAATATTTGTTGTAAAGAATAAAAAAGCTTGCATACAGTAATATACCAAACAATGACAAAAAATATGACAAAGTGCCAAATGCACATCATTTAGGTACTGCATAGTTAACTACATAATGTGACACTATATCATCTGCCACGTCCAAAAGCATTAAGACCTAAAAAGGTCATTTTATTTAGAGTGTGCACTCAAGAATATTTTTAATATATACAAAATATTAAACATTGTATGCACTTCATGCTGCTGAGCTACAAGGTTCTGCTGATTGTCGGCCACATGTTAATCTAAGGTGGCGAGCTGTGCTGGTACTGCTTTTTACATTTCCTGTAGGTTCTTTAGTTGGCTCAGTTATATTTTTGCTTAAGATGGAGGAACTTCTAATAAGAAATATAGTGCAATTTTTCCTAATCTCTCATCTAGGGGTGTTTTATATTGCCAAAGAATGTCTTCTGAATGTGTTTCAAATGTTTATACAAGTATTTGTAAATTTTCTCTGTGGTTGTGTGCTTTCATAGCAGAAGCCTATTTTTTGTAGCCTGATAAACCAGATTAAATGTGAGATTAAATGTGTAATTTAGTCTGGCCCCGATGGATGAGACATCGGAAGATTGTTGATGAGAACAACCCGTTTTTTTTCCCATGTTTTTTGTTCTTGTTGGCCTCTGTTCTGACTCATGGGTGCTGCTTGTTGTGTCGTAGTCGGGGTGGCAGGCTGGTGGTGGGGTGTTGTCAACTAGCCTGTTGTTTTTATTACTTCGTTCTTCTTAATGATTGATGGTCGTGTCTCTTCTTGCTGCTGTTTTTTTGATGACCCCCCGTCTTGTCCTTCTAACACTGCTTCTTCCACTGCTTCGTCCAGGAAGTGTTGTTTAGTTGTTGTTGTCTTCTTTGTTGTTGTTTTTTCTGCGTTGTTGTGCTTTTTTGTCGTGCTGTTGTCATCCTGCCGCCTTTTTTTCCTCCAATTCTTCATACTTCTTTTCTTTGTTGTTGTTGGGCCGCTCGTCGTGGGTGGTTGATTGATGGTGGCTCGACGTCGGTGGCAGGCATGATTTTTTTTGGTGGTGTGTGGGTTTGGTTTATTTGGTTGTCTTTTTTTTTGTTTTTTGTTCTTTTTTCATGATAATAATAATAAATGTTTTTTATTAAAAAACTTCTGGAGAGGAGCAATCACAAGGTACTGATCAGCAAATAAAAAGTAGGGTTTGGGTGACATGACTTTCAAGCGAGTCTAAGATTACAGGTAGCTGTTTACTGAGTTTTCTTATTCACAGATCTAAAAGCAAATGACACATTACATCATAAAACATTTCAGTAATTGGATCTTTTATCTTTCAAGAACCAAAACTGCTATGATACAATAAAAATAAATCACTTTATTATTTCTTCTAAATTATGTTTTACTACTTAAAAGCTAAATTGTCGTGAAAAAGTGCTGTTTTTTGAACAATGGACTAAAGCCTTTTCTTTTTAATTGTCTTCCCTCTATTTATTTAGTTTTATCAGTGGTGCCTTGTTGGGTGGTTGTTATGTGATAAGGACACAGATGCTGTCCTTACTTGGCCTTAGACTGTGTGTTCATTGTGCCTAAACAGACGGGCAGAGGTAATGGTGTTTTCTCTGCAAAGTGCTCTTCGTTAAAGGTTAAGTGCTCTTTTTTTTTTACATGAAGCCCCCAAACTCTTTAAATTCCCCTGCAGGGTGTGTTTTCAAAGGAAGAGGCCATGTTATGCTTTGTTCTTCTTGACGAATGTTTCCACACTCCTCGGACAGCTGAGGTTATCGCTACATAAACAGAAACTACTTCTGACTTTTCTACTTCTTGCTGTTTAAACAGTCGAACAAAAGGAGTAATGTTCCGCTGTTTTGTTCAGTCATCAGCCCGTCAGTGCGCTTTAAACCCCATTTTCTGTGTCATGCACCTGATTTTTTTGGGAGATCACATGCTTTTAACGGTTCCTCTTGTTTGTACGTTTTTCCTGCCTCCTTGCACACAGCTCAGTGTGATATGGATCTGTCAGGGACACGTTTGTCCGAAGGTGGCAGAGCATGAGTCGCAGGCTTTTGTGCAAGGCGCTTTGAGACCTGTTTTTGAAGTGGGAAAGAAAGAAGGAAGTGATGGTGTGCTTTGATTGTCGTTAATTGTGGCGAACTGTTGGCACCTAATGCAGGGGGTAGTTTACAATGTCTGTTGACACTTTTATAAGCAGAAGCTCTGCAGCATCAAAGTTTATGCTTTGTTTTCTAGTTTTCTGCATGAAGAATTCATTTTTTTCTGTACAATGTCACTCCTGTACACCAATAATCATCAATCATTACTTAATTTAGATACTTATAGAATTGCAAGAATTGGCTTCTCTACAGTTTCACTTCTTTCAACCACAAACGTTAATATAGTTTATTTGAATTTTACTGTTACTGGTAAAAGTGGTGATGAATACCTTGACAGGAAAAGGAATGTGTGGCTTTTACATTTTTAACAAGTATAAATCAAAAAAGTGTGATTTCCAGTAGCTTTACTCTAATATGTATTTAGACAGTGGCAGTTCTAGACCAGGGGGCACCGGCCCCCGTTGGCCCCTGTCTGGAACCTCACATGCTTTTAGATATTACTTAATTCATAAATCTTTCATACAAACTGAATTGTTCTTTGTTTTTTGAGGGCTTCTGAGGTTTATCATAGGAAAATATGCTGAAAACAGCCCCGTGAAGACCAATAAAAACAGCATGTAGACCAGGAAAACAATTGTGGCAAAGTTCAAATGGAGGTTAGACTATAAAACAAAAATCCAAGCCTTAAACATCTAAAACTACTTTAAAAAAAAAATGTTAAAAATTCTTTCCAAAATTATTTAAAAACGATCAAAATGCTTCCAAGAGATTGCCGACAATTTCAACAAGCAGATAGGGGAAGGAGAGCATGAACCAGAGATCTACTTTTTGTTGCGTATGAATACACATGCAGGGCTTTGATGTGGTTCTGGGATTCAGGTCTAATGCGGTTTCTCTCTCTCTTATGGTGTCTCTCTCCCAGGAAGGGTGGGGTCTGGTGGACTCCAGAGGGGGTCTGCGTGTCCCGCTTTTTACTGCCTGGCTGGAGCTCATTCAGAAAGAGGTAACCTTTGACCTCTAGCCTAGTTACTGGTGCCTCTTTCCGCCTATGGTCTTATTTAGGGGTCTGATTTTCGCCTTCTTGACCAGCTCTTCTGTAATTGGTCGGCTGATATAAGTAAAGAGAATCTGAGTTTTCAAGGCTGAGTGTTGGTGAGTTTTTTCTATTGAGACTGAATGGAGAGGTTGTAGTAGATGGCTTGGTATCGGCATGAGGGTTTGGCTGTAGAGGCTATTTCTTTAGTGGGACTGGGCTTTCTTCTGTCAAATAGATTTGCCAAATTAGCAAATTAGCAAATCTTGTCTTTTCTCATGCCATGAATATTTCCTCTGGAATTTCTTTAGAGGTCCTATATTTTCCTTTTTTGAGCCTTTCAAAGTCACCTACAGGCAAAAATATAGGATGAAATAACACCTTTAGAACTATATTGGTATTATTTGGTATGAAATATTTTTTTCTCCAGGAAGAAAAAAAAACACTTCCCTCCAAAGTGAAGCTTAGTTCCTGTCTGTCCCACCACTTCTGCACAGGTTATTACCCTGTGCAGAATATCTTCTAAAAGACCCACTAGATCTGACGCTGCGTTCACACCAAAGGCGTCAGAGGCGTCAAAAAATTGCTCAAATGCAGGAATCTAGACGTTGGGTCGGATGCTGGATCAAACTGTGGTCAAGTTGCTTTGACGCTTTGACGCTCTGGTTGCTCAGTATGATCCTACTGAAATATGGAGTTCTTGTTTACAGCGTCAGACCTCCAGCATACTGTCGGGACACAGCGCTGGAAATCCCTGCTGGGGAAATTTTTGTAAAATCTGCTATCAGGTTGAGTTTTTATAGGACACTGGAAATCCAGGTTCCCAGTCTAAACTCCCAAGAATGTCCCATGAACTTCAAATAATCAACCAGGCGACTCCAACTTCAATATCCAACATGGCTGCCACATGTAGAAATCTTAATGAAAGTTTTAGCTGTAAACTATTTAAAAGTACTCTACTCTTCATCCATATTTATAAACGGATATAACGTGAGAAACAATAATTAGTTACAGCTCATTTGCACATGCACAACCAGATATACATCCAGATTTCCATATATAATGTAATTAAGGTACTAAAATGATTTATTTCTATCCTTAACTTACTAAATAATGCTAATACACATCGTTAAAAAAATGTTTTATGACTTTTCTGAGACAATTTTGATATATTTTCTCCATTAAACAGCTTGTCTGACGTCATCATTGGACATGCTCTGAGCAGTCCAGCAAAATATAATTAAATCATGTTTATCTGCGTTTTAGTGGTTTCTTTCTTTAGGTTACACACTATATACCATAATGTTTACACAAAAGGAAATTTCATAAATCCAAAGCCGAAAAAGTTAGCTCCCCGAAGTAGCGTAGGATCCCATTTCAGGAACAGATCGGGCACAGACGACTGATGGACAGAAATGATTTTCAACTTTGATGGGAAAATTTTTTATTTGGTTTTCATTTGCAAAGTAAAAGTATCCCAACCCTTTTCTTATCAATCTCTTAATTATCTTGGCTAAGTTTTAGCTGCATAAATTAAAATTTCTAAAAAAAAAAACAAACAAAAAAAAACAAACCCAGAAATTAATGTTTATTCAATTGAACATAAGCAATACTTTCATATTAACCCCCCCTTTCACCAAAAGGCACAACAAAAATTCTGCTGCAACTCTGAACAATTTACTGTTGTAGAAAATGTATTTTTTAGAATATATGTATGTATATGTGTACATATACTTACTTTACTATACGTTCTTGTTTATTGTGACATACCCCTTGGCATATTTGTTTGTTTATTTGTATATTTTATATATTATTGTTGACTTTTAGTGAAAAAAAGTAGCAAGTGATAAAACAGTATTTAATGGGCATTTATTTTCTCAGGAAATACATTACTAACTTTTAACTCATTATAGTTTAGTACGGTTACTAATTTGGGGGAGGGAAGCACTAAATTAGGCATTTTTTACAAAATACAATTGAGGGCGACCCGGATGTATATCATGTATAACAGACATGACACTCGTTGCTCCCACCAACTTTTAATTGACGCTACTTATTGTGTAACTTATATTCCTTATTATCTGGGCTGCAGTGGAAAGATGTTAGAAATAAGTGAAGAAGTCTAAAGAGTTCATTTGTAAGGTGTTTGTAGAACTCGACATCAGTTCCTGTTGCAGAGGAAGCATAAAAGAAAACAGTTTCTTTTCTTTTTCTTCTTTTGTCAGCTTTCATTGATTTCTTCAGTAAGCAACTGCTCAGGTGAAATAAACTTTGCTGAAACTCAGCAGGACCTGTCAAGGTGGATTATCCTCGCCTATGATGAGAGGCGTCTTCTGTAATGACTTTAGATGTGAGCTAGTTGAGCGCTTTTGTTTTGACTGACAGCTTGTGTGTGAAGGACTTGTTTCCCTAATCTGCTTGTCACCTCAGATGATAATTAGAGATTTAAAATAATAACCACACAGCTAGTTTGCGGCTACTGTTTTCTTCAAGCGTTCAGTGTAATACATGACAATCCAAGTTTTTTTGGGGTTTTTTCCCCCGGAACATTAAGTAGTAGAAAAGTTGTTCCTTCTGATTAAGAGCCACTTTTCTTAGCAACCAACTTTTCTATTCAGTGTTTTTCTCTTTTTCTTTCCAAAAAAAGTGTAAAAAAATCCACTTGACTTTGTTTCCAACTTTGAAGACGTATAGCTTCCAATCCAGGAACCTTTTTCAATTGAAAAATTTCTGAATTAGCGTTGAGTTCGAGGCTTTATAGAGTGGGCCGAAACAAAGCCTTGTTTTGGCTTAGAAAACATGCAAATTTAATTTTCTCCTTTGCATTCCTTATTTTTTCTCCTCCTCCACGTCTTTCATCATCAATGTAATTCTTTTCAGTCACAGGTTTGTTATGCCAAGGATCATTTTCGCTATACATCTACATCAATCCAGGTTATCCTTCTTTAAATCAACGCTCTTAGATATCAGGATTTAGGGCAAAGGTCAAGGATTAAAAGACCGCGATTCGGATCCGGACCCACCTGCTGGCTAATCCGGACCAAACCTGATTTAAAACATTTATAAATTATCGCATGTTGTCCGATGACAGTCTTTAATTTCACTTGCGCCGCTTCTCCTGTTAATATGGTAAATCCCTCCGGAGTGCCCTGGACCAGGCTACACATGATACAAATTAGCCAATGAGCTGTCAGTCAGGCTGCAAGCCACTTTTAGACACTGCAGGCAAACCTTTGGCAAGCCGGGCAATGGGAAAGAAGGAGAAGACAATGAGAAAAAGAAAGCAGAAACAGTGTGGACTGCTGGAAGACCTGCAGTGAACTTGGTAAAGAAAAGTGAAATGGTGTGCTCAAAGATGACCCCAGCACATTTGTGTGTATGGCTTAACCTACTGCTGTGAAGAAGCATTCCCGGCCATGAACATACGGTAATCAAAAATAAATATCCATCCAGGCTTGGACCACGCTTATTTTTAATTGGTTACCACTGGTTTAGGCTAAAAAAAAACCAAAAAACGGCTAATTAGATTTCAAAGGTTTACATATGCTGCATTACATTAGGAAGATGAAAATGCTTTTGTAACACAGGTTGTTTGAGCGTTGATGGGTTAGTAACTGATATATTTGTTTAAAAATAATGACATATATCATCCTTATGGGGCTTTGTGATGAACAGCTGAATTATATCAAAGCTGTGCTTTGGGTTTATGTAGAATTAACCAAAATGCAATTATATGCGATTGTGCAGAAAAAAAAGTGATTGAAAAGTAAATTAAAGAAACCTTTGGGTCTGATTAAGAAACCACGCACTGATTCAGTTTCCTTTAACTCATGCAAATTGCTTTGATGATATACCTCTTTGAATACATATATAGCTCATTGCTATAATTTGGACACTGTTAAAACTAAAAAAAATTAAGAAAAAGGAAGTTCTCATTCAGTATGGTAGAAAAAAGTGTAAGGTGTACAGTTTAAAGCATCTGCCCTTAGCATTACTTTTACTTTTATACTTTAAGTAATTTTAAAAATTGTACTTTTAATTGTAATAAAGAGCTCAATTTGGTACTCTAACTTCTAAAAAAAATTTTTTTAAACAATAGGAAAAACATTAATAGTTTTGACGCCTATGTGCATGCCAAATTACCTTCCCTTTCCAACCATTTCCTCTGTAGAAATGACTAAAATAAATGCCAAGAGAGTAAAAAAAAACTAATAAAGTAAAATTATTTTGGATTCTTTGATAAGTTGTTAATAATTAGGAACTAATTAATATGAAAATTAGGCATTAAGACATTGTTTTGTCATGTCTTACATAAGGTATTGGGATTTTCTTTCTTATCAACTTAACAAGGCCTTGGTCATTTCTTCCTGGTTTTGTTCATTAAATATTTATTCTTTTCATTTGTTGTAGCCTCATTATTAACATCTATTTGTTTGAATGTTTTTTTTTTCTTTTTAAATGCAAGGTCAGGAACCATTCAAATCCAAATCCTTTTGCTCATTCTTAAATGTATCAAAAGCGACAGAATTTAGGGACCCATAGCTATGATTTATTGATATATTTAAAAAAATGTCCATACAATATTCCAATATAATATTTCATGCCTACTGTATGTCTTAAAGAGCGTCAATCTTTGAGTATTACACGCTTGCTTTAATTCACACACATATACATAAAAGTATGGCAAATATTCTATATTTATATTTTCTTAATTAGTTCTTAAAGCATTATTTACATTTATGCAATTTGAACTAATTCAGAGCACCTTGGACATTTTAATAAAGGTCTGAATTTTTTTTTTATAGGTGTGAAAACTCCCTTTATCTGATGATGAGGGAATTCAAATGTAAAATGTGTTTATCAACAGAAAACAAATGTAATCCCACATATGCCCCAGCTGGGGAGCAGAGGGTCTTTTCTCCAGTCGCTCTTAGGGGATTCAGTTTCTCCTACCTTACTTTCTGTGTCAT